GCTTTAAAAATGAACACGCTTTCAAAATCAACACCCTATCAAAGTCAACACCCTATCAAAATCAACACCCTATCAAAGTCAACACCCTATCAAAATCAACACCCTATCAAAGTCAACACCCTATCAAAGTCAACACCCTATCAAAGTCAACACCCTATCAAAGTCAACACTCTATCAAAGTCAACACCCTATCAAAGTCAACACCCTATCCAAATCAACACCCTATCAAAATCAACACCCTATCAAAGTCAACACCCTATCAAAGTCAACACCCTATCACAGTCAACACCCCATCCAAATCAACACCCTATCAAAATCAACACCCTATCAAAGTCAACACTCTATCAAAGTCAACACTCTATCAAAGTCAACACCCTATCCAAATCAACACCCTATCAAAATCAACACCCTATCAAAGTCAACACCCTATCAAAGTCAACACCCTATCCAAATCAACACCCCATCCAAATCAACACCCTATCAAAATCAACACCCTATCAAAGTCAACACTCTATCAAAGTCAACACCCTATCCAAATCAACACCCTATCAAAATCAACACCCTATCAAAATCAACACAATATCAAAATCAACACAATATCAAAATCAACACAATATCAAAATCAACACAATATCAAAATCAACACAATATCAAAATCAACACAATATCAAAATCAACACAATATCAAAATCAACACAATATCAAAATCAACACAATATCAAAATCAACACAATATCAAAATCAACACAATATCAAAATCAACACTCTATCAAAGTCAACACCCTATCAAAGTCAACACCCTATCCAAATCAACACCCCATCCAAATCAACACCCTATCAAAGTCAACACCCTATCAAAGTCAACTCCCTATCAAAGTCAACACCCTATCAAAATCAACACGCTATCCAAATCAACACCCTATCAAAATCAACACCCTATCAAAATCAACACCTTATCCAAATCAACACCCTATCAAAATCAACACCCTATCAAAATCAACACAATATCAAAATCAACACAATATCAAAATCAACACAATATCAAAATCAACACCCTATCAAAGTCAACACCCTATCAAAGTCAACACCCTATCAAAGTCAACACAATATCAAAATCAACACCCTATCAAAATCAACACCCTATCAAAATCAACACCTTATCCAAATCAACACCCTATCAAAATCAACACCCTATCAAAATCAACACAATATCAAAATCAACACAATATCAAAATCAACACAATATCAAAGTCAACACTCTATCAAAGTCAACACCCTATCAAAGTCAACACCCTATCAAAGTCAACACCCTATCAAAATCAACACCCTATCAAAGTCAACACCCTATCAAAGTCAACACCCTATCAAAGTCAACACCCTATCAAAATCAACACCCTATCCAAATCAACACCCTATCAAAATCAACACCCTTTCCAAATCAACACAATATCAAAATCAACACTCTATCAAAGTCAACACCCTATCAAAATCAACACCCTATCGAAGTCAACACCCTATCAAAGTCAACTCCCTATCAAAGTCAACACCCTATCAAAATCAACACCCTATCAAAATCAACACCCTATCAAAATCAACACCCTATCAAAATCAATACCCTATCACATTCAACACCGTATCGAAATCAACACCCTATCAAAATCAACACCCTTTCAAAGTCAACACCCTATCAAAGTCAACACCCTATCACATTCAACACCCCATCCAAATCAACACCCTATCAAAGTCAACACCCTATCAAAGTCAATACCCTATCAAAGTCAACACCCTATCAAAGTCAACACCCTATCAAAATCAACACCCTATCAAAATCAACACGCTATCCAAATCAACCCCCTTTCAAAATCAACACCCTATCGAAGTCAACACCCTATCAAAGTCAACTCCCTATCAAAGTCAACACCCTATCAAAATCAACACCCTATCAAAATCAACACCCTATCAAAATCAACACCCTATCAAAATCAATACCCTATCACATTCAACACCGTATCGAAATCAACACCCTATCAAAATCAACACCCTATCAAAATCAACACCCTATCAAAGTCAACACCCTATCACATTCAACACCCCATCCAAATCAACACCCTATCAAAGTCAACACCCTATCAAAGTCAATACCCTATCAAAGTCAACACCCTATCAAAGTCAACACCCTATCAAAATCAACACCCTATCAAAATCAACACGCTATCCAAATCAACCCCCTTTCAAAATCAACACCCTATCAAAGTCAACACCCTATCAAAGTCAACACCCTATCAAAATCAACACCTTACTAAGACTTGCTATATTAATGTGGACTTATATCAATGGTTTATTGAATAAAACTAAGAAGACTTTTGTACCTATATAAGCTAATAAACATTAGAGAAATACGTTTAACAAAACAAGTATACCAAGAACAAAAGCACCTGTACCTAAGAAATTGCTGGGATGATGAAATAATAAATGACTCAATTGAACTAAATGAACAATACTTAGAAAAATAAATTCAAGATCTATCAAGGAAAGGTTGGAAAAAACAGTAAAAAGCAAAATATTAAAGAGGATAGAGCAGCAGGTTAAGAAGAGCGATAAAACAAAGGCGAGGTTTATTAAAAAAGGCAATTTTGGAATAAAAGAATGTATGAAACATAAAAGGGACCAACGTCACTGAAATTGAAACTGATTCAAAGGCTAATTACAAAGAAAATATGATAATATAAGTTGCAGAAGGTGTGGATTACATGAAGAAAACATAGAGCATTTATGGCAATGCGAAAAATTCAAAAGGCACCTTTCAGGAATGGAACGAATTCGAAAAAGCAACGTAAAAGGCTTGAGAGATTGATTGTACTTTCTCAAAACTAAGTGAAAACTAGCCTCTGGTAGATGACGTCTTTCCTGACAATTCCGTGTTTGTGCTAAAGTACCTGCCCCGAAACGGAGATTTGGCAAGAAATATTATTATTATTCTTAGTATACTTTAGATACCACGTTAATCCTATCAGACTTTTTGAGTCGATGAACTATCTGAATTGTTTCATATACACAAAAGATAATCCTTAACATCAATGCAAGCATATCTGGTGCTGTCAGGGGTGTTGTCAAGGATCTGTCTTCTAGAGATTGCCTACAACACAGCAACCCCTAGCTTTTTAAGACGGCACACCGGTTATTATTTTTAATTTTGTTTTTAACAACACTGACAGTAATGTGTGGCTCTATGATTGAGTAATAATTGAATGATTGAGGGGGTGAGCAAATAAGTTATTCAATGAGCTTTTGACTGAGTAACTGAGAGTGCATTCCCAATACAAAGTAGACTTTTCTCTACGAAACTTAAAGTGAGTCAAGACGTCTTTTTAATTCAAAAATTATCAAACAATTAAGATAAACTGTTAAATGAAAGTGAAATACACAAAAGTTAATTACAATGATAGCAACGACGAAGACAACAAAGACGATAAGGACAAAGATAACAAAAATAGCAACAGCAATATCAATAATAAAAATTTCGTTTTATTTCAGTTCAAATATAATTTTTAATATGTTGATCTTACAAATTTTAGTGTACATCACATGAACACTACTACCAATAGCTGGTCCTAGCAACGAACAAATTGAAAATGCTAATTACATAATATTATAAAAGATTGCATCTAGACCTGAAAAGTTCAAGTGGAACTCTAAACCATTTAATTTGTCTTCCCGGATTGGTTATATTTCCCTTTGTACTTTTTTTCTACTTCTACAAAAATCAATACACTTTAAAATATTGATAAAATATTGACAAACAATTTTCATTTGAAGCGATTTCTTACAAATCAATTTCATTTTTATGACTCTTCGGTATAGCTTTGAGCCAAGGAATAGCGATATTGTCAAGTTTCTTTATTCACATACATCGCTTTATTGTTTGTAGAGATATCAATTATTAAGGTAATAATAACAGGATTTTTAAACGTATTCTTCTAGAACTGGTGAATAGCTTTTGTCAATTATGAAGCAATTTTCTAAGAATAAATGTACCGAGATCTAAATTTTATTCATGGCACACAAAGCTACATCGTAGATGAGACATTAACTTGACAATAATTTCTTAACAATTTATCAAAAATACCATCAAAAGTTATTTCAGTAGATTGAATTATACTGTGCTTGGTTGGTGTCATTAACCAGTTTCTGGTAAGAGCGTCGCCTCTTTTTGACTGTGATTACAGCAAGCACAGCCAAGACCACCAGGAGCCCACCAGCAATCAAGCATGCAGAAGCAGCATCACTACTTTGTGATTTGTTGACTATTCGTTTGTCTGATCCAAAATCTTCAATTTCCTTAAAAAGTAATCTTTTGTTTTCCTCTTCAAATGAATTTTCAAGGAATTCTTTACTATTTTTCTTGGTAAAGAAATACGGAAATTTTTTGTTTGGACATTCAAACTGTTCACCTTCAGTCCACCTAGAAAGAAATAAAATAGGCAATATTCTTTGTCATTTCTTTATGTGAAGCATTGCCAGTCGAGAGTAATTTTATTCCTTTTACGTTTGGGAATTTTTGCCAAAGATTGCTCTATTTAGACAATTTTGTAGACAGAGACTCATAAACAGAAACCCCGTAAACTTTCCCTGAGTTTGTGCTAAATCTGAAAATTTCCTCTACATAATAGATTCTAGACCACTATGACTGGATGACAGATAATACCTCACTTCGCATGGTCACCCGAACTATAATGTAAATGAAAATACACTTAAGGTTTTCAAAAGTTGAAGGTAAACCATACTTGCTTTCATGGATACAATTTTTCTTCATCCTTCTACGCGCAAAGGTTTGATCGCAATTTAGGTTGTTTGCTTACCCTAAAGTAACCTGCTTGCAAACTTTGCTTTCCTTTGCGAAGGAGTGCAGGCTAGCCCTAAAGTGGCAACAAGTAAATATTCTTGAAAGAAGTAAACGGGCAAATTATGATACGGGGGAATGTCGGTGAGAAGCATTTTCACTGACAGAAACGTATGGATATCAATCTAGTGTGTTGTAAAATCACATGATCCCCTCATAAACAACAGAATCTTGATACTGGTAATTCTTGGACGCATCTGTTACAGAACGATACAACGTATTTGCTAGAATCGATTTCAAGAATGCTTGCAAAACTTACTCAGTTCTCTTCTTTCCAACCGGCTCGATCATGTTATTCCACAAAGCTAGTGCTGCTGCTCTGTGCCCCTTTTCCGAGAAATGGAAGCAGTCTGGTGCAAAGAAGCTCATGTCTATTGTTTTGTTGTCCGGCATGCGAGGAGCCTTGGTGTTAACGAAGAACGGTTGAACAACGACCGTGAAGTCGTTACGTGTATCGTACCTGAAAAAAGAATATCAAAATATTAAATTTTTAGCAAAAATTTAGAAGTTAACGAAATTCTGAAGCTTTGGATCTAGAAGCTGATAAAGATATCATATGTAATGTGCTTGTACTTCCTAAACCATACTCTATTCAATTTTAGCTGAATATGCAGCACCGTAAAATTGATTTGCATTCATCTCCTACATTCACAGAGCAAAAAACCGAAACTTGTGTTAAGTTGCAAACAAGCTACGTCCGACGGTCCAACATTTGCAGCACGATTGGGTCTCTGTCTTTTTCTATTCACGAAAGTGATTGTCAGCAAAACGCAACATTGTGCCTGTCTAGTTATGGTTTTAACCAGGTGCTTCAATGCAACTCAATCCTCAGATTACAACTTCGCGACTAACTGAATAAGCTTTAATGTAAGCTTGGTACACACTATCGAGGCAAAGACAATAAGGACGGGCTTGACACCAAAACCGTGCATTCTTCTTACTCATATGCTTGAGCCCTATTTTGCTGTTTTCTTCAGTGAGGACATTCGCAGCACATGCGCAAATTATCTAGAAAATGAAACTTAGCCTGATACTTATATCTACTTCTTCCCCACAAGTGCATAAGCTTAAACTCTTTCTGTTTACTAACAGATACTGTAAGAGTGACAATCTAAATAAGTTAGTAAAAACTGTAAATATTGAACTCAGATATTTTAAAAAGTGGCTTGATGCCAATAAATTATCTCAAATTTCATTATTTTCCATTAAAAAACAATAGAATAGATAAACCTCAAATTATTAAGATTGGAAAGAAGACAATTAAAAAAGCTAAATTTGTTAAATTTTTAGGGCTACTCTTAGATGAAAATCTTCACTGGAAGTTCTATCTAAAGGAGTTGTCTAATAAACTTGCTAGAACTTAAAAGTTAAGCGCTTATTGTCTCCAGATGTGTTACTCTGCTTATATCATTCGTTGTATGGGGAAATACTTCCGCATCTTATACAAACCCAGTCTACAAACTTCAGAAGAAAATAGTCCGAATAATCTTTTTTCCGCCTGCTCGTTCTCCTTTTGCTCCTATATTTAAGTCTTTAGAACTTCTCAGACTATCTGATGACTTTCAACCTAAACTTTTCACTTTTGTCTTTGAAATTGTATATAGAATATCATCAAGCTGCTTTCATGATCTTTCTTATTGAACTCATCGATGGGTGAGTATAACACTAGACAGGCTAGTAAAGGTGATTTGTTTCTTGCATGAAAAACACCTTGCAATATGCGCTCAATTCTATTCGATATCAAGAAGCTAAGCTTTAGAATGAAATTCCAGTTGAATTAAGAAACTCTCACTCGAAGGCTTCCTTTAAAAGTAAAATAAAGATCTACTTTCTGTGCAATAATTACACTCAGCAATTCACATATTATTCTTTATATATACTATGCTTTAATTTATAGCACCGTCTTTCTGCACCTATTCTGACAACGTCTGAATAAGTCAACTCTTTCTTTAGGTAGGGGGTGCTCCGTCCTCGATTAGCTTGCCTATTGGGGGAGTTCCTACTTTAAGAAACTCCTCTGATCTCACTGCAGCGCTTCACCTATTTACTCTGTCAACATTTAGCTTGAAGTATATCATCCTGTCCTTTGTTTTCTTCAATTGTTATGTGTTGTATTTAACTTCAATTTGTTATTGCTAATAAGATAGCTGGTATGTAGAGGTAGTATTGTTGTATTAGTGGAATTTTAAATAAATGAACTGAACTGAACTGATAAGCTTGTGCTTCCTGTTTCTGCTTGTTCTTGTTTCGCAAATGAGGAAGAGGCCTCAAGATTATTACCTTCCCGTGTTTATCAATTCATCGACGCCTTTTCGATAGTCAACAGCTCTCTGCCTCACTTCCTTCTTAACTTCCTCGCCTGCAGACGTACCGCATTTGCAAAGGACCTTGTGCAGCACTTTGCAATATGGCTTTTCGATCAAAGCAAGTTCAGTGACATCAATGATTTGCACGAGGTTTACAAACATCTTAGGTACCTAAAGGAAAGAATGAAGTTTTAAATTGTAAAACAAATGAAGGCAATGTGTTGATTTCTAAATGCTAAAAGAATACGTTGAAAGGTGTAGTCCTGCTGCTCTTTGATGGGCAAGAACAAATCAAAAATTCCACTTTGCGAAGAAAATTAATCTATTAAGGACTCTTTCCTGTCTTCTATAATACTGCAAATTGTCAGTTGCTGTAAACAGTTTTCAAGATTTAAGATTTTCACTTAATGAAATACATTTTCGATGGTTCTGAATGCTTTTTAATCACTACCCTTCAAGAGCTAGACATACAAAGGCATTTCTTTCAGACAGAATTAAAAGACTACAGGAAAATTTTAGAGACGAAGAAATCCTATTCAATTAACGAAGAGTTTTTCTATCAAAGAGACTCTAAGCGTTTTATATCACCTTCAAACAATTAATTATTCATGATCATCAGCTTTTATCCTCAACCCAGCAAGTAAGGAATTATAAGGTTTCGTTGTCAATGATTTAATTGAAAATTGGCTGAAGAAATACAAGTGTAAAGGAAAACATAGTAAAGACAGGTATGTTTATCTTCTGCATTCCCTGGTCAAATTTGGCTATACTTCATTCAATGTTACATTCACATCATATAGCGGTGATTTGCGGCGATTTACCACTCTGATTTATAACACTATCAGGCAAAGATGATCGTATTAAATCAGAAATAAATGCATCGTAATATATTCGCTAACCGCTGAGCGATCAAATAGATCCTTATGTAGCAATATATACAATAGAAGTGCAAGACAACATTTTCCAAGGAAGTGAAGGTGTTAGAATAACCTATATAATCAAAATATTGAAATAATAATTATCATTATTTATTTCACTTCGAAGTTTATAGCTCAAGTTCAGGCTCTGACACGTTGGCACGCGATCTTTTCGATCATTTCACAGACGTTTCAGAAGATAAAGATAATTGCTTAAAATTGCTTTCAATATTTGGCGTAAAATCCACGATTTTTGCCTACTTGTCTAAACAAAGTATTGAAATCGTCAAAACTGCCTCTTTTTGTCTGCCAGGATGAGTTGGGATTCTTACATAGACAGTCTGATTGCATTTTCACGTGACCTGAATGGAAATTCACACATCGACAAGGCCTGCATAATAGGAATGGATGGAGGTAATTTTCCGGCTCTGACGGCCAGTTTTAAACAAAGCTTTAGAGATAACAACAACGTGTCCCTAATGTAACAGTTAGGTCACATGACATAATCTCGATAGCATATCTCCTTTAACAGCACGGTAAGTGAATAAAACAGGTTTTTTGGACAAATAACAAATTTTCCAATGTTCTGCATAACAGTTGAACTAGGCGATATAAATTATGCCTGCGGAGGGGGACTACAAGGAAGTTTTCAAAAGTGAGTCAGACATATCATATCGTTAATAAACTTAGTGAGCACAGGTTTGACAAATCAGTAATGGCGACCGCGTTTTCAACAACAAAGGGATCGACATTCAAACCACTTTTGTGAAGCCATTAAGCGTCTTGTTATGGGTAAAGTCTAATCAAACCAAACTTCAAACCATTGCCAAAACTTTTAATTTAAAAATTGAAAAAAATTACTTTTAAAAAATAAGAAATTTCAACTTTTTATTGGACAGTCTCCCTAACCCTTGCGAGACTTGCTAAAACTTTATCAAAAGTTTAGTAACAGGTTCTGTTAATCGCGACATGATAAGTTCAGAAGAACATTTGTAAGATCACATTTAGATGTTGAAGTACCAAGTTGAGCATAAATGGCCTTGTATTTGGTGGAAAGTGGCATATACTAAGCCATTTCATTATGCCTACTTATTTACGGCTATTAAGGCAATCGAGTGAACCTGTTTATCGCGGGAATTTTGGTATTTTCATTAAATAAGAGGACGAAATGTTGTTTTACGCAATTTGCAGCATTATTTGTTCCCATTACAAAATGGAAATCGGTTGGAAAAGATGGACTTCACGATTTGTGACACATTTTATCGATTGATTTTTGCTGCAATATATCACGACGCGGAAGCTGCGATTAGGCCCATTGCAGCTCCAAAACTTTCTGGCCAAAACATTTAGCATATTCTCCAACAAAAGTGAAGAAAATGAGTAGTTCTAGACACGGAGACATAAAGTAAGTATCCATGAGTTCAGATAAACTTGTTTACTGCAAATCTTTCACAGGTACTTCAATCATTATGGTTCAATTTTTGTGTGTTTGCAAATGTCGAAATTGTTTAGAAATAGGCAAAAATCAAGAATATTCTTGCATTTACTATTTTCACAAACGAACCGTGAAAAATTTTCCAACATATTCCAGTTAAAAAGTCACCTTACAAATTTTATGAAACTTGCTATGGCCACTTGAATTTTAGTTCGCTAAATTTGTTCGCTGCGGTGGGGCCCATTTCTGTTTCAGCCTGTTCAATATTTTTGCTCACTAAGTGTAGAAGTAAGAAATATATAAAGAAACCAACAATAAAGAAAGAAGTAGGTTGTAGAAAAATGGATGAAGCATCAATAAATAAGAGAAAGTGTCCTTGGCTCTCCCTTAATATTTTCTTATCAGTTTTGATAATACTTGGAACAATCGTTTTCGTAGGTATGTGGACGACTAAATCCCATCAGGCCAACCTTAATCTCTCACAAGCAGAATGTTCTACGATCGCCAGAAACATGAATGCCGGAGAGAAGGGACATAACTTTTATAGTGGCATACGGCTGGAGGGCCTAAAGTATCAGTATTTAAAGTTTGATGGGGATGCTAAACTGGTAATTGGAAGAAGAATAGGCAGTGGTGCCATTACAATACAGTGCTCACGATCAGCTATAGTGGTAGCTCACTGCCCAGAAGGTGCTCAGCACGGACAGTGTAACAATGGAGTGGCAAAAATTGTGGATTATCTCGAACGATCTAACTGCTGATTGATTATGTATTGGCATCATCAGAAACAGTGTCAATTATTTTGCCATGCCTGTGATAGAATCTTTGCAAGATGTGATAGTCTATATCTGCTAAAAATGCAATTATCCTTGAAGATTTATAAAGAAATATTATCGTATTTGCTATCATACTTTCCATCCTAGCAAAATTTAACTTAGGCCACATTCACAATGTAATTTCTAAGCTGCTCTCTAGCTTTCTGAATTGTCACTAGTAATGATTTTTATTCTAGGATTGCTTCTAGCTTAAAAAAATGACAGGAAATCATATTCACAAAGAAAGGTGGTCTAATGTGGGTGTTTATGCGACAAAAAAAACCTAAAAGTTTCGGACGTTAATATCTTTGGATTTTTATTACCGTCTAAATTCTTTGCACTACAGAATAGTCACAGGATAGATTTTTGCTATTTGAAAATCTAAGCTCACAAACATTTAGCATATAAAGGAAACTTGTTGTACGAGCAAGTTGCAAAGAGAAACAGAATCATATATTGTCAACTAAACTCATTTAGCAATCAAGGAACATCCTAATCATCCTCAACAGTTATTCTATCATCATTTGTCGTACTTTTATCGTAGTTAACATCGATATATTCATTCACATTTTAGTTTCCTTTAACAAATGAAGTAAGAAGGGCAAAATAGCTTCGTTTTTCAACTGCCATGATGAACTTTGCAGCTAGAATTATTTCCAGTCTACCTAATGGTGTCAAGGCGGACGGTCCAACGATATTCTGAATGCGCCTTAGCAGTAGCTGTACCTCTATAACTGATGATATACCAAACAAAGTGCGAAATTTCCGGTGGAAGGTGGTCAGCCACCATTGGCTGATTAGGTTTAACGATCACAAGCAAAACAATGGTGGAATGATTGTGACAGCTTTTGAAATGGAGTGCATAACCCTTCGAATATTTATGAATTTGTATATTGAAGTGCAATAATACCCTTATGGTTTTTAGTAACATTTATAAGGTGCAATATGCCTTTTGAAATGTCCTAAGAGTGCTTTCGCTTTTGTCACCTTTTGTCTAAAATCGTTCGAAAATTCGTGAAAGAAAATCGAACAAATTTTTTCAGAAATTTTATCGTCCAAAATTTTGGCTTTTAATATAGTTGCTCTCCAGGTCTTTGAATCAAATTAACGGAAAGCATGAAAGTAGTGAAGTTATATTGTCAGAATTATATGTTTCTAAGAATTAACTGATTCTAACTTTGAAATAAGTTAAATCCTTTAAAAATTGGCTGAAACATAATGATATTTACACAATAATTTCTGTTGTTTAAGTTTTTTACGGGTAAATTTTTCACATAAGATCAATTACGGTATGTTGATAGGAAGTGCGAATGCCACATTGCCTATCCACTTTGCTTGCTTCACTAATTTAAGACGCTATCAGGAATTAAGGTGGGAATTGACCACAACCTTTCGAAGGGGGGCTTTTTTCTGGGTAATTCTAAAATATCATATCTAATTTTTGCCAGGATCAAATCTTTGATTGAACCGATATTAAATGTTGACATTTGAATTCATGTTTGACGTCAATAGCCTGCTTTACAACTGAAAACTCAACAAATGCTGGCAAAATTTTCTACTTTTAATTCTTTACTTTGAAGAATTTTTACTCAGGTAACAGGTAGACGTTGGAAGATGATTTAGGAAAAAACGGAAAGGTAAAGAAATTGAGATTGAGAAGCCAAGCAAACGAAAAAAACTGAAACGTTCATTTTGTATGAAATAAGAAAAAATGTAGCGATTAAGTATTTACTCATTTTATAGTGCTGTTAATTTAAACTGTTTCTCTCAGCTTTACATTGCTACATTGCGTCATGCTCACTCAGCCTCTCTCGTTTCTCAATCTAGAACTTTCCATCTCCATGACATCATTATTACATCATACTCACACATCCTTCGTCAGCAGATTTATTTTTAGAGTTAAGGTATAAATAATCATAGAGTAAGTTAGTAAGGGAATCTTGAATTGAAGCAAACAGAACTCGATAAAAATCAAAACATTGTTACTACAAAAGCTCGATGTCCTACCCCCTCTCTACATTTTTTGCACTACACTACTGCTCTGAAATCTCCTCAACATCACCGGATAAAATTTTGCCCTATTTGGCTTCCTCAAAACTTTCCTTGTATCTTTTGAAAAGAAGTCTCTTAGAAATGAAATTGAAACAAAATCATCTATGGCTTTGTCTTGGCGCCTTGTCAGAAGTTCTAGCACAACGTTAAATTTCTCTCACTTTTTATACTCTTGCAAAGCTATGCATTGACCTTTCTCAAACAACTGCATTGTTGGATAACCTTCCTCCGGCTCACAGCCGTAGAACTGCAATATTATCTGGACTCTGGACCACACTCTATACAGAAATGCGAAATTCTAATATCAGGAAAATAAAACAAAAACTTTGGACTATCAATAATAAAAAAGTGTCAAAGGTTTTACATTCAGTTTTTTTGAATCGTTAATGGCGATGTGAATGCTGCCGTCGAGTCTGGCTATTTGTTGCTTACAAACAAAATCTAAGTATCATTAAAAAAATCAAGTGCAAGCAAAGAAACAATCGCTTGACACTAACCTCTGCGTGGAACATGTCCAAAGCGTCCCTGATCCCTCCAACGTATTTTTCAAGTGTATGCTTGTCATTCTTGCAGATTGCGCACAGATCATTGCCTCCTATCCATATGGTCAGTAACTTCCAGCTGTCTTCAAAGTCTTTCTTTGATTTCAAGTCTGCTATAAGCTTCTCGGCCTGACCAGGTAGATCTATAGATATGGCACCTAAAAAGTATGCAGAAAGATCTATTGGTATTGGTCAGCTGGGTAGTGAAATGAGATGAGACTCAATATGAAAAAGGTGGATAATGCCCGTTAATAGCCACTACCCAATTACGTCATACTAGGACACGATTAACACACGGCATTTGGTCTTAAAGTCAAATTGTTTCGAATATTATTCCTTCTTTGTTGTTATAGATGATTAGTTTTACTCCAATTCCTTTCAGAGCTTCAATGTTGCGGTACGCCACTGTTCAACTACTTTCAGTATACGATTTAGCGCCCCGGGCGTTTATTTAATTTTAAAACTATTGGTGGGCGCTTATTCGAATTGGGGGCTTATTCGAGTTCTAGACGCTTTATCGGTCATTTACAGAAATTGTGATCTAGGCTTTTCAAACACCAGTATTTGTGGGAGAGGGGAAGCTGTTTTCTACACTAAAAAACCCTGATAATTCTTCTTAGTATCGCCCAAAGCTTCAAAGCGTCCAAAGACCTCAAAATAAAGATATTGCAAGAAATTTCATATAATTTTGTCTTTGGATGATGGCACAATTCGGATGCAAATTAAATGGAACTTGAGTGGAAATTATTATCGGTATGCTAGAATTATAACCCTTGCTTCCTTTCTCTCTGAGTCAGTCCGTGAATGTGCTCAAGCATGGGAAAGTTTAGGGCAAAATGGCAAATGAGTTGAGCGAGGTAACAGTTATCTCGATGTCCTGGTTCAACGAGCGAATGGCATGCTCGGACAAGTGATCATGACGTAGAATTTATTAAATCTTGTGATTCTCCTGCGAAAAGTACAGAACAAACAAAAGTAAAATGCAGAGCATTGTAAGAATCCCTCCAAAATGTGACTTGGATAATGATGGACTGAGCACCATGATCATAATCATAATAATCATAATGATCACGTGATTCATAATGAGCACCATGATCATAATCATAATAATCATAATGATCACGTGATTCATAATGAGCACCATGATCATAATCAAAATAATCATTATGATCACGTGAAGATGGCTATGATTATTACATTATGCTGACAATCATCAACGACCAGTACACTTCTAAGGGGAGAAGAACAATTTTCTGTTTTTAATATTGGGTGGTGCATTTGCCATTTCACTTCAAATCCATTTCACAACAAAATAAACAAAGCGTCATGTACCAGCATGTGACATATTAAACGCACACAATAGAGTACCGAAGTGATGATGTCATACAAATCTATTTTTAGAATTTCTGAATTTTGATCCCGGAACTTAAAAGAGCATCATGAAATACCTCTTAGTATGCAAACTTAGTTGACGGCATCACGAATTGGCTTAGATATTGCCACATAAGGACATGCTCTTGTCTCATCAAACCTTTGTAATTTGGTCTTGGTTCATAACTTTATGAAACAGGCCAGAATAACAGTGATCCGTTAGCAAACTTGAAATCTTTCATTGGCCATATCTCGCCCAGTTTTGAACATATCCAACTAATTTGGCACAATAAGATATATTTTATGCCGTTCTTTCAGATTATGCGGCCAAATTTTAGAAATTATAAAAATAGATTTTTTTTGACGTCACACTTTGGTACTCTATCTTACATCCACACAAGAACAGCCTTTACAAGAACACTTACGCCCGATTTGCCAAAAAATAGGAGCAGGGTAAGATCATGCTCAGCATCAGATGAAAAAGTGGAAGAATCAATATTACATGTGTTCTATAAAAATTTATCCTCATGTTAACATTACAGAGAAGATTTTATCATTGAACCAATTTAGCGTTCTAAGATAAATTCATTGATTGTTGTTGTAGAAAAAGCAGTGTTAAGCTTATAACAACATACAGAACACAGGAACCTCGCATTCCCTCAAACACTCTTCCTCATAAGAAAATTGTTTCTAAGAATATTCAGGCTCAGATTTAGCCAATCTTTAGAATGGTATAAGCATATTGCTTGGAACAATGGAAATCGCAGAACTGACATTTCTAATTTTTAAACAGCGTGTTTATATTGAAGGGCGAGCGATGATTCTCTTGAAAAATAATACTTTAAGAATATATTTAGGCTCAAAAGTTTATAGCATTCGTATAAAATAGAGTTTTTATAAATCTGGTTCTTATAGAAAATAGTGTAATACCGAATCTAATATGCAGTTCAAAGAGTCTTACCGGAAACTGCAAAATTCATGTGCGCTCGCCAAGGTACACGAATTTTTACTGGGGTTGTTTTTACTGAAAATCCGTTCACACCACTGTAATATTCCTTAATTATATTTGGCAGGGTCACAACTTCCTTGAGTGACTTGTCACCTCCTATGCTCCAGGAAATCCCACGATATTCTATAAAAATTTCAAGTAAGTTCTTGGAATCAGCTCCAAAAGCAGCTGTTATCGAGTCGCCCATTGCTGCTACGTAATCAATATCGCTCGGCTTGAGCCGATGCACCGATTTCGGATTGGTATGATTGTGGAAAAGCGGACATTTGAACTCGATTCCGTTGCCACTTGAACTGATAAATTCAGCAGGAATTGCAGTATCTACATCTTGGAATAGCGTCTTCTTGGCAGGAAACACTTCCCTCGCAATGAAGTCATAAAAGTTCAAATTCTTGTCCTGTCGATTTTCCCATAACTCTTCAAGTTTTTCATGGAATGAAATTTTTGTTTCAACTTTTCCATTTGTAGCAATAATATAGGCCAGTGTGGCGAACAGGCAAGCAACTGTTTTCCAACGACTGGCTTTTGTAAGGTGCATCATGATAAATACTTGCACACAGTAAGGATAATCTGTTATGAGAACTTCCTGGTACGTCTGCACCAAAGAAGTTGTCAAGTCTGTCTGCAATAATCTAACTTCTCACAAGACCGAAGTGAGTTTCCAGAGGGTCACATGTTTTACAGGATTCAGTTCAATGAACGTTTATACAGTTGAGTATCGTGTTGCGGATCAACGTGTTCTTTGTTAGTCGTGAAAAGGGGATAACCTAAGGGACAAGCAATGTTGTTATCTAAAGGCCCTTCTAGGGCTTTGGGAAGGGGGTTCAGGGAAATCTGCACTCAAAGAGGGCAAATGGGGGCAAAGCGCCAAGAAAAATTGCAAAACAATAGTAAAATGATAAACAATCCCCAATTTCGCAAGGGCAAGGGTGGCCACTGCCCCCGCTGCCCTCTGGCGTATGCGTTATTAAGAGAGTTATACAGTAACCATTTGCACAGATGCGGAAATTCACTTGGTAGGAGGGGATAGAACCTCCAAAAACAACACAATTTGTCGGCAATTGAGAAAAAATTACCACCAAAGCGCTAAAACTGTGTTTTAACTGACACTTCAGCAAAAACTAGGGGGCTGGCCAAACCCCCCTTAATTTTCACGTCTGCATTAGCACAGAGAGGTCCATCCGATAGTTTAAAGGGGTGGGGGATAGTATTGACAATTTGCATTATTCTGTAATTGATGTATTTGCAATATGCAATGCGTTGGTCGGGGTAACACTATAATGCTTTGGTGTTAAAATTTTTATTGATCTTACAGAAGTTAGTCTGCTTGTTGATACATGCAATATAAAATTCCCAATGTATCAAAACTACTTCCGAATTTAAAATCCTTGAATACCCCCTCGATGGTAGATTTGTCAACGAGAAATTCTGACTTATTCAACCTTTAACTCAAACTTTTACTGAAATCAAATTATGCTCCACGAAATTATTCCTTATATTATCTTTGAACTCTAGTTCACGAAAAAGAATGCTCAAAAGGCGTTGTCCGTCACTCGATCTGCTGCGTGAATACCCTTACAATCCTTCACGCGACCTGCTGCGGGAATACCCTTTCTTGTACCGCATAGATGGAATGTACTTTGTACATATCTTTTAACACAATGCAGTAGTTTTACAAGCCTGTCTGTCATACCAACATTCAGTTGATTATTGATTTAACAAAATTTGCTAACATATCACGAGATTACACCTACAATAAACAATTTCGGGATTATGCCAAAATTGTCATAAAATTACGCAAGATTTACAAAAATTATGCTAAATGATTTTGTAATTTTGTATATTGGAAGAAGAATTTTCATTCCCAAATTTGATGTGCAGTAGTGTTCTACTGACTTGGAAGAACTTGGAAGTTTCTGGTACAAAAGTTCTAATTCATTTTATTTGTGACGTCATGATCCGGCTGGTTGCGTGAGAATCTGTTGTTGCTGCTGTGCTTGTTGTTGTGGCTTTCTTAAAATTTTCGTGATTATTTCGATAGTAATGTTTTTAAAATGTTATGCTCACATTCGCTGAAAATAGATATATGCTAGCTTGATTTCAAATAATTCAAGACCTGTTTGCTTTTAAACTGCTAGAAGACGATGTTTAATTTGCTGAGAAAGGCTGTCGTTGGGAGAACTCCATCTCCTGATTGTAAGTTGAGTTTTACCCTTCTGGGGCGTAAAACGCATATTCAATTTATTGATCAGCCATCTCGCCACATTTGGCTTTGATTTGCACGAGCATTTACTTAACCCCGAAACTTTTGCTTTTATTAACTTTTTGTAAATCCTGTTGACATCTTCAATATGATAAGTTTTAGACAAAATTGTATGGTAGCTGAGACAAGTCAGGTATCAAACCTTCCCATATTTAATTGAAATTTCTTCTGAAAGCAAAACAGGTGCGACATTCACGCTATATGTTTGAAATGCACTTATCTGGTCCTGGTGTCAGTATCATGAAAAAACACATCAACAAACATTTGAATTTTTTTCTTTGATCTTCAGAAAAATGGACACCTTGTTTCACTCAATAGTAGTTTAAGAAATATCTTGGGCTCAAAAAAACAAAATCTTGGAATACTGAGGCTCAGCAAAAATTAAAATAAAAAAAATATTTAACATAAGGCAGATGACTTTAGTCAAAGTAAACTTAAAGCACTTTTCATCAAATGCTTATATTTAGTTGATTCTTATCTATGTAAACCGTGAATCCTCAAATAAGTCCCCACGCTCGAATAAGCCTCCCCCTCGAATAAGCCCTCACCTAAAAAAATAATTTTTGCAAATAAGCCCCCCCCTCAAATAAGCCCCCACCTAAAAATTCCATTGGGGCTTATTCGAGGGAAATATAATTGCAGAAAAATATCTTATTTCAAGAAAGCCTCCACAGGACAATAGCTATACAATATTTTTGATAATTATAATGATGAGGATGAGGAAATCATTATTGACTGTTAAGCTTCCTTTGCAAAAAAGCCTTTTTGTAATTTTTCAATTTATTTCATTGAGAAAATTATGTCATGTTTATGTTGACCTTTGAGGAAAATACTAAACTTGGGAATAAGCCTCCCATTGAATAAGCCCACCTCGAATAAGCCCCCCCCCCTCGAATAAACCCCACCCAAAAATTCATTTTTGCAAATAAGCCCCTGTGGGTTTATTCGAGTATTTAGGGTATTCTATGTATAAAAATGGTCCAGGTAAAAGATAGAAGTTATGGGGTCTTGGCAGGGGTTATCCTAACATGATTTTGTAGCAGTTTTGTGGTATTGTAAATCTAATTTGTGATGTTATGATTTCAATTTTGTGGTGTTGTAAAATGTCAACCATAATCAACCATAATAATAATTTTTCGGAGCATGTAAAAAATTGCTGGAAATAACAAAAAAAGGAAGTCAAATTCAAACAGAAGATCTACTTAAAACAAAAGCTTGAAATGAAAAAAGAACTATAGTAAATAGTCAGTCAGTCCTACTAAACATTTTAGCTTTTGATTGTGTAAGGTAACAATTTATGCATCTATGTTCACCCCGTTTAAATCAACACTGAATTTTTCCTCCCAACTTTCTTAAAGAACAGATTTTGTATGACTAAAAAGCAGTACCACTTTGTGTGGAAGTTTTCAAAAGACTGCATGGACTGAAAATGGAAATGTCAAAAAGTATTTTTGATAAAGATACCATTATTATTACACTCTTCTAGGGGTAACAATACAGAGGTTTGAAAGGAAGCCCATGTTAGCATAAAACTTAGCACCATGCTTTATCTTAATGATACCTATAATTTAGCTAAATAACAAGAAAACCTAAAAGGTTGAGGTTCTTTGCATGTGTCAATTTTTCTATGGAACGACTCAGAAGGACAAATTAATTTTCATACATGGTTTGTTTATTTCTAACAAAACATAAATTATTTTTCAGTGTTTTTGCAACTTCAATTCTTTCAATTTTTTTCAGTTGATAGAGATAATCTTGTTAGAGATGAGCACACGAAGAAATTATTGAAAGAAGAACTGGCTGCTACAATAAAACGAGTCAGTATAAAATTTATATGTTTCTAAAATATTCAAGCACAGTAGGTAACAGTTTGATTGCATAAACTTTAGAGGACCTTTTTAAAGAAATGATCATTGACTTGTTAAGGAAAGAGATGGTTTAATTGTCTTTTTATTAATTTCCTAATTTAAACAATTTTCAGGACAAGCAGGCCAGAAAGCAAAATTGCCTGGAGCTATGTACTAAACATTTATATGATTCTAACCTGGAGTATGACTTTGATTTTTAACTAACCTTTCTAGAGCTTTATTCAGCAAATTAAGTTTTCATTTATACATTCATGTTTTAGTGTTGTAACAGAATTAGGGAAATTGTAAAGAAGATTTAGCTAAACCTGGTTTGATGTATGCAAATTTGCATATTGTGTTTTCTTTGCTATTTTTCTTCAAAACATTTAACCATTCTTGATTTAATTCTGGCACTTTAAGCCTTAAAAGTGACAAGTCAGATCAATTATCTGTCTGCAAATATATTGTACTTTGTCAATTTGTAGTCATATTTGCAAAAGATAAATTTCAAATCAAAATTTTATTCTCAGATTGTTCTATTCTAGCTACAAAGAACTCATATAAACAAAGATCATGTAATTGACAGGTCAGTTACAATTGTTTTTCAAATTGCTATCTATATATGTCAGACTTTTTTTATTTAATATTATTTCTCTGTCTGCCTTTTGTTATGAAGGAGTAAATAGTATATCAAATTCATTTTAAAATTCTATTTATATAAAAAAGGATTATTTTCATTGTTTTGCATAGTTCCTGACTATTACCTTGTACCATATAATTATTCTTTTCAAGATTCCCAGAATCCAGTAGACAGCCTATCCTGCATTTCTTCCTTCTTACCTAAATAGGGGAATCATATCTTAAATTTACAGGAATGAAGAAGATGCAGTCTTTGTTTGCTCCATTCTTGAAGGAATGTTTTTGCATGGATACAAAGATAAAACTACTGTAAGAGTTAAATATATGCTGTTTTGTTATTAGGATAAAACTTTTATTGTTATTGTGTTATCAAAGAGAGTTTCAGAACTGTAAAACAGCATTTCATTCTTATTATGTATTTTGGTATCCCTTTCTTAACATTCCAAAAGTTTGCTTTAAATATTCTGATAATGGGTCTACCAGCTATAGAATACTTTAGAGTTCAACTGACTGCAGTTTTGGATGGCTTGGTTCTACAATAGACAATGTTAGGTAACACAAGCATATTGTAAAGAAACAATGAGATATGTCGTTAACACATTTTAAAATTCCTGGCTAGCATAATCTGTTTTAGGCATCTCTTGTGCTATTAATTGGTTTTGTATTATGTGATTTGCTTTCTGCATAGGATAGGCCATGCAACTTTAAATAACATTTCATAATCTATTGTAAGCTACCTGGTAAAAATCCTTATGATTCAATTTTGTTGTGCTTGATCTTTTTGCCACTTGTTTTTAATGTTGCTGTCAATTCAAGTCTTGTTGCTGTCAATTGACTACATCTGTACTTTTGACCATTTTCCAATTAGAATTTTTCTATGTATTTGATAAAATTCCTCTTTTTTGTTATGGTTAAAAATTTTCATTTCAGGGGTTAAGAGGCGTTTTACACACCGCATCTGGAGTGGAGGACATTAAAACAATTGTACGTATTATAAATTAAAAAAAGGCCAAAGTTTTTCCCATCCCAGAATAGTTTGAATAATTGTGGATGTCTACATTTCCTAATAAGGAAAACTCTAAAGTCAGAAAAAAATTCATCTTCTGAACTTGTTTTCAGGAGCTTTTTTAATTTCATAACATTTTGTATTTGTGCTTATACAGTAGTAATAAAGATTAATGGAGGCTGCTGCCTAAAAATATCGTTTTAGAGTTGCTTAATATATAACGGTAGCAAAATACCAAGCATCTAATATCAAAACTGAAACCTCATATTGTAACTTTGAACTTTATATTGAACGCAGACTTTGATCTTCTTAATGTGGTGTTTGAATAGTCCGCATTTCTCAATGTTTTCAGATTCTGAAATTCATGCTCATTCTAGGGTTGAACTGGTTAAGAATTTTCCCTTTAGGGTGAAGCTTTTTGTAGGGGTGGCTCAAACTGAGGGGAAGAAGTGTTTTCTAAGGCTATTAGTATCGATAATATATGCCTACTTTACAGGAAAATAGCAATACTGAGCCTTATAACCATTTTTATTTTACGAAATATAACCGATAAAGAAGGTGTTATTCATTTCCAAGGGAAGCTTCAGAATTTTATGGTCAAAATTTGCTTCTTTGAGTTTATTTCTAGACACTTTACAAGAAGATGTTTATCTTGTTCATTGTCTAATTGACTTTCCATCACATATCCGTATCTGTTCCATCGATACGTTTTGAAAGTACAAAGGTCACGATAAAAACCATTTAATTGACGGCTTCAGTTTTAAAATATGTCATACCTTCTTGATAAAAACTTTGACTTCTTGATAAAAACCTTCTTGTTTTTACTCAACGTTCAGACTAAAAGTACTATATAATAAAATCGTCAAACCTATATGTGCATTCAAAGAATTGGTCTGCATGCAGGATCCTATCCCTTCCTCTCTACTATCTAAAGACTGCAAGCAGTAACTTTGTCTAAGTGCAAAATGCCTAGTGCGAAATTTTATTATGGCTTCAAAATTTTGCAATGGAAACATCGATAATCTCCAGTCCTTGCCGTTTTAATTTGCTTATTATATATCCTTGAAGTTAAAAATGTAGATCGTTTTTTATTGTTAAATACTTTATTTGTTTTTAAAACATTGATAAACCTATTTTTCTGTCTATTCCAGTCTTTTTGGGATATCATAAATGAAATAACGCATAATGACGTCATATCAGAAATCAACAATTTAGTGGTGAGCTCAAGGGTCGGAATGTGCAGGGTATGGATTTTTTCATCACTTTTTAGGCTTTTGATGAAGAATTGACCTTTTTTATCTAGGATCGTGCCATTATTCTTGCTATTAGCTGGCTCTGATCATTTCAATATTGATGAAGTATTGACCTTTTGCATCTAGGAAAATGCCATTATTTGTGTTATTATTTGGCTCTGATAATTCCAATATTGATCCACATTTTACATATGGATCGGAAGGAATTACAGTATAAATTAATGGTACAAATCGTATACTATATGCTCGTTTATAAATGCGTATTATTTTGACATTGCTAGCACCTTCATCAGTAATGAGAAGCCCCCGTCATGACTTAAAGGACCCAAAATTTCTGATGTTGTGTGATGTTTGATCTAGATTAAAAATGTTGGGTTTTAAATGAAATGTTGGGTTGTTTAAAACATCAACCAACATGCTGGGGGGTGTGCGTGCGTATCTCGTATAAAGCACTGTTTCAGCGCCTTCTTTTCATTTTTCGCTGTTTGTTGTTTGTCCAGAACAAAATTGAAATTTAATCTGTACTTCTCCATATTAGTTTAAGTAGCAAAAGGGATTGAACAGAGTAAGAATATGGATTTATTTCGATAACTAAATTGTCGTTTTATCTTGCTGGAATAGAAGTTAGTTAAAAATTATGTTGAAGAAAGGAACTAAACTAATAAATCCACGTTGACGGCAGAATGCGCTAGGCCATCTTGTCATCTTGATTCTGATAGAAGTGAGAGAAGAAAGTAGCGATGAAGCACAGTCAAGAGATAGACATTATGGGGATGAGCATAATGCTGCGTCGTTTGAATACCTCCCTATTTGTGCACTTAATGGTTGAAAAAATTGATGTGTAAGTGTTTGGTGCAATGTCGGACAAAAGCATTGAATCTTGGCTGACATATGATCGGTCACTGAATTTCCTATAGTACCTCAAAGATCGAAATACAACATTCTTGATTCTAGAATAGTCAGTTTTCAAATTGTAAACTTCCAATATTCAATTCCAAAGGCTTGGATTCGACTTGCTTTAAACGATGGTCTAATTGAAAGCTATCTAGATGCTGTGAATAGAAACAGAGAAAACATGAGGTGAGGATGGGGTTGCCTTGCAAATATATGTTCCCTTATAACTGTCAATTGTCTGGGCTATTCTCAGTGGTGCCTAATGAGGTTCATGACATAATACCATAGCAATATTCATGTTTTTTATTAAGTAAGAAAAAACTATATGAAGTTTGATTCCGTATGTAAAACAAGAATAGGACTGTCGTAATGTCAATTTCCAATCTCACAATTCCATAAATGATGTTGTGGATGAATTTAAACATAATTTTTAGAAATGTGTCTTTGGATAAATAAACTGTGATAAACTTCCTCAATCATAGAAAGCTACGAGGCTTAGTTGGCTTTAATGAAAGACCGGAAATTTTGTAAGCAAATTAAAAGTGATCATCTTTGAAGCTTGGGGAATTTGTCCTAAATTATTGTCTGCATGTGGATTATTCAGGGACTGTTTTTGTTCATTCTATGAATTTCTCATCGCAAGAGTTTTTTAGAGAAATTGCCACTTGCCAGTTTTAAATATATGAAGCCTTTACGTGTTTTTTTCAATTTTCCTTGTTGCTCCATACCTTGTCGCTTATGCTAGTTATGCAGTCTGTAATTTGTGATCTTTGTTATTCTATTGACTTACAGACTATACTACAGTTCAAACGCATTTCTTATGGACACTGAAGCTCTGCCAATAGCAATCGAACTTTTGCAAGGTGCAAATTTCTAATTCTTCAATTTGATTCTTTGTTTAGCTCTGTTGGCCCAAACAGGCTAATTCGACAGAGATTTAAAGTAGAACGCTAGTTTTCACATATTAAATATGATGTAGAACATTTGATGCCATTAAAAGATTAGGAATCTCCTTGAGAGCTTAAAATTGTTGAAATGTTTCTTAAGTCCTAGCGTTGCAAGAGATCGTTATTATAATGAAATTATTTGAATCCAATGTGATTTCGCTATTATTCGCCCAATTTCATCATGACATTGTTTTATCTCATTGGAAAACTGCTGTTTAGTTTCCATGACGCAGGTATTTTTGTTGTGAATGGAGAAAACAGCATTATTTTCTTCTCTGGTACCCCGGCTAATGTTTTTGAGGCAGTATTAAGAAGCTTGTGTAGCTCAGGCCGAACTGTCAACATCATCATATCCCATACTGCAATTTCCTTTAACCCAATATATCTCTCCGACCCCTATATAACACGTCATGAAAAAAGGAGAATCACATGCCGTGAATAAAAAAACATGGACATTCTGCAGGGCATTTGTCGTCCAAGAGCACTTGAATCAAAAAGCTATTCAAGCCAACGAATCTCTGTTGCATCGTTGGAATAAACTGAAGTTGAGTTGTTCTTTCGGCATGTTTGAGTAAAGTTGTTCATCGCGATGAATTTAAACAAGGTCAAAGCCACTAAAGAAACACATTTACAACATCAGCTCGCAGCTCGGCGTGTTCTCAAATATTTAATTTTAGGTAATGATCAAGGAATAAAGAAATTTTTCTTTGTTTCTGTCCAAAGATTACATTCAAACTAAACCCTGGAAACAATGATCCAAAAAGGGAGCAAGTTGTATTTTTTATATAGAAGGTATATACAAATGCATGTTTTTACAGATCTGTATTTAGAAAAGTGCAAAGTTGAATTTTCAACACTTTAAGTATTGGCTCATCTCATTGGATAAAAAAAAATGAAAGGTTTCCTTTCATTTTTATTCATTTTTGCTTTTACTTGCAGGGCTGATGGAATTCCAGTTTCAGCTTAATTACAACTCCTCAAAGCTAGATGAGTGGTCTGAGGACTCTCTAAGACTCGCGGGTATTATCGTGGGAAAACGCAGAGATACTGTGGAAAGTAACTCAAGTGGCTCCATGGATAGGCCGTTCCAAGGTAAGAGCAGTGGAGATTTCTAAAGTCTAGTTCACGCCATGTGAATTTTGAATTTTATTAGGTAAACCTGTGGTTCAGCTGCATGGAAGCGTCTGGTAGGGTCCAGTATAGTCTCCCTTTTTTCTCCGGATAGAACCCTTAAGCTCTAAAAACCTTTTAGTAAAACAATGAATTCAAGACGAGGTTGTGGCGTGGTATTTTAGGCCTAGTCGCTGTTTTTTCCCACTAGAATTCTATATAACAAGTCAGTTAATAAAGAGGTTATAACTAGTAAGAAATTGTAGAGCTTTATAATATTCAGGCTCGTCGAAAAAAGTAACTTCGGTAATATCAATCTCAAGGCAAGAGAGTTTGTCGGTAGTGCCGTTACCCTTTGGCGTTTGTGTCCTAGACACGTTCTATCCATGCAACACCATTCCATTTTTCTATATTTTTTTGGTTTTTATATAACATAAGAAAAGACGACATTGCAATGCATCAGCCATTGGACATACCAAAAAATTTGAGAGCTATCAGCAACAACGTGTTTTCATCAAAATTTACTCAATGGCGATCTTTCGCCGATCCAACGCTGAATAGATTACGCTACATCCTCCTTGCATGGATACAAGGTTTTAAGAGAAATAGCGACTATATAACCGATAATGTATGTGTTTTAAGGTCTGCTGGAGAGTCGTTTGCAGTCAGGCTCATTTACATATTCGGAGCAATCCCCAAATCGGAGCAGGTCCTCTTCAGATGTAGACACCAAAAGCGAACCTGGCAGAGTGAGTTTTTGTTAAAACTTTTTTAAACACCATTCACAGCGCATTATGTTTCCAGGCGATGTATAGAAATTCATCAATATTTATACACCGTACTGGCGTTGTAGGTATCAACGCCGTAGGTAGTGAATTTGAAATTCTATTTCGATAACCCTTCACTATCCTTTTATTGGAGATCATTATCATTATTATTTCGAAAAAGTTTACTATTAGCAAGTATAGGAAAGCCTTGAGTTAGGCATACTCTGTTTACTTTTTATATTCCGTTTAAACTTGCTGTGCCTGAAATTTCTATCAAGAGGTCCCATTTTAGGATCTTAAGATGTTTTATCTTTCATCTGATTGCTATACAGCCACCCTCAAACTCGATTACCACTACGGAATCACTAGAATCTGCCACCTCCGGGGATACAAACACTGGTATAAGCACACTTTCCTCGTCCTCTTATGAGCAATCAAGTAGTATTGTGCAGACCGTGGGTAACAGGCTGTCACTTGGTGAAGACACGTGGAGCGGTTGGTCATCAACTTTTGAGTCAGATCCAGGCGAAGCACCGGAGACGCCAAAGAATGACAATACCGACACTTTTAACTCACTGACTGATGGCTTGTCCTCAACTGATGCCATGCCAGACCAGCCCAGTTTCAATTCATTGCTGCAGACATATGGTGCTCCAACACCGTTAATGGCCCAGACCCCGTTGCTGTACGAGAAAAAGATGGATTTCTCGATTTCTTCCCCTATAGATGTGAAGGTAACACAATTGTCAATTGTAGATGCTTGCACTGTCGTGTTTTTAAAGCAACCATTGCAAAGAGTCAGAGAGTAATATTTTACATGCCATATCGGAAACAGAGAGGGGGTATTTTATATCTTTTTGTCTGAATTCACATTGCTTTTTGCTATAATATTCACAAAAAGCTAGCAAATGGTATCTACGGAGTATCTTATCACCCTTCCATCGCCCACCGATAAAATTTTGTGGCAGGGATGGGGTTGTGCCTATCAAGCCTAAAGTCAGACCAACTCTTGACGAAAAGGAACAGATGTTTGAAGGTCAGTTTTTCGTCGTGCTCTTGGCCTTTTGGGTAGTCATGTCAAGTCACACTCTTAGTCTTACTTGGTAAATATAAATAAAGTATACTACAATTGAGACTGCCTTATTGAGAATTTCTATACTTGTGTGCATCCTCGTCTTGGCTAGGCCCATCTCAAGGTACACCAGTAACGACTGTAGCAATATTGACTCAAATGAGATATCCCTCAAAGCATTTCACCTTTATCTTCCTGAATTTTTTTCTTTACATTTATTTTTCTTCTTCCAGCAACCATGTCCATTATCTCCTTCAGAAGGTACGTTTTTCACTTTTCATGTGCATCAAATTGTAAAGAATTCTATTAATATCATGCATATGATATCACTAAGTTTTTGTAACGTTATCATTGATATCATTTTTATAATATCATAAACTCGTGTAATAATTTCCTTTATATCGTGAATGTTTGATAATTAAGCTCATTAAACAATATCTTTTAAATAATGTCATTTAGCTCGTGTAATGATATCATTAATATGATGTATGTAATAATGTATAAAGGCTCTAAAATGATACTAACAATATCATTTGATTAATATCACTTAACTCGTGTAATGAACCAAGATAGGAATTCAGAAAAACAATTGTTTATTGAAAAATTATTTCAAGCCAAAAATAAACGATGATTTTAGCCTTGTTACTGATATTTACCAGTCTTACGTTCTTTAATTTATTTTCTTTTTAGATTCTAATATCCATGACATGAATTATGAGGTATGTAATCTTTATCTATTTTTCAAAATCTTTGTAATGAAAAAAGTTAGAAAGAAATTATGCCGTGTGAATTTAAAAATACGACAGGCTGGTGAACGGAAGATTAAACCGAGCATTTGCCGACAGAAAGTTGCGAATAGGCCTTTCGACAAACTATTTTTAATCTAATGTATTTAAAAAGAAGATGGACAAGGGAAACGCAAACGCAACTGAAAATGGCTTTTTGATGATAAATTCATTTACCAGAACCAGCTATTATTTTTCTTTAGCATATTGGTATTAAAGAAAATATTGAATAGGTCATGTGCTCGTGTTTCTGATTGGCCTATTTCGATCCACAAATGTGTATATATATTTCCTAGCGTAGAGTTTTCGATCTATGTTCTGACGTTTTAAACTCTGAAGAGTGTCAGACGAAAAGCTTTAGTTTAATAAATGTTTGCTTTTTTCAAAGCCATTTACAAGTTTTGTACCGCCAAAAGATTGTTTAAAATATGAATAATCTTTGCCCAGCTTTATATCAAAACTGGCTCCGACTTAATCGCAAATATATTCTGGAAATGAAAGCAAGTTCATACTTGACAAACTGAGTTTTTACACCTCACTTGATAACGGGCAATGCTCTATACATCGTTAGTAAAAAGTTGTTTTTTCCTTATATAATTTTACTTAAACTCCTAGTTATTTAAGTTTTTGTAGCGTTTTATAAATACTTTTAACTTCTGCAGTTAGTTTCAAGGTACCATACATTTAGGTGCCTGTTATTTCAATTCCATCTTTTGCTGTTTGTTGGCAAATAATAATCAAATTCCAGTCAAGGTCTTGGTGGCGGTTGTGTCAGCTGCCTTTTGAGTCCATATATCCTGATGATGGAGTTGTCAATATTTCCAGGAACCAGTTTACGTATCACATTCATCAGTACTAAGATAAAAGAATTTGATTGCGAATTGACAAACATTCACATTAAATTGCATTTATGCTTACTTGGCGATTTTGTGACTTATATGTCGATAGTTAATTTTGTGAGTTTTCAAATATGCTTCAAGACGCAAGGCTTTGTTAATTATCATAGATTAATTATCTCAAGTCTTGACTGAGGACTTGATAGATTTGGCAAAGTGTTGAGACTTGATTGAGTTCTTGGCTGACAGACTTGACAAAGTTTTTTATTGATACTAAATTACACCCTGGTGTTATTTCAAGAACATATTTGTCCTTTGAATATTGAGATGTTATCATTTATTAATGTAAAATATCTTGCTGACATGTGTACCAATCATATGAAATGAAAGGCTAAAAGAGCTGGCTGACATGTATAGACAGGTAACCAGATGCATCTTCCCTAAAGCTGGCATCTATTACCTTTCCCAAACACCAGGAATTTGTGGAGAGCACCATCTATGTTGAAGTTTTCTGCCAGTCAGTAAACATATCCCCATTTGGTTTTGGTTCATAAATCAGTTTTATTTTTTCTCATGGTCAATATTCGATAAAAACAAAATAATATGCAAACAACTGAATTAGATATTTTATTGGAAATTTTCTCTAGAACCAATGAATTAGAAGCCCTTGCGTAAAAATGTGTGCATACTATTGGTAGGGCTATAGTACACAATAATTTCACAAACAGAAAATTTGTGTCCTGTTTCCCAGGTTCCCAGAAAGAAAATATATTTTGCAGCTCTGGTTCAGTCATCAGTATCTTAACACCTAACACTGAAAGAGACACAATTTGCTATACACTGTCTGTTTTATTAAAAAAATTGATGAAAAATTAAAATAAAATTCAAGTTTTATGAGATTTTCTGCATTGAAATAATGATTAAATAACTATTAAAATAGTTACATGCTGTTGAATTTTTAAGTGCAAGGTGATTTTCAAGTCAGGGTATCAATTTATTTTTCTATAACAAACTATTATTGAAAGGTTGCTGATTTCTACTAGTAGACAATGTGCAGAAAATATCTGTTAAATTTCACCATTTTCAGTCTTTTTATCTTTTTCCAATAGCAATATCTTTTTGATGTTCTTCTTTAAGAGTTGCTTTTGAGTTATTAAAGTCTTGTCCACTCTCACTTTTGCGTTCTAGGTTGTGCCTCCAAGCTCATCACTCAAATCTGAGCACAATGACGAGGTAGTATTTTATCAACTTTGTATCATGTCTACGTAAAACCGCAGTTGTGATTACGTAAAATTTGCAGTTTGTTAAAATTGATTTTCCAGTTTACCTGGAAATATATAAAACAACTGCTCTGGCTACGGGGAGATCTCCAGGGATGGTTTTAAAAGTCATTAACACATTGCATACATTATATGATATAGATTGCATACATTAACACATTGCATACATATTATTATATAGATTGCATACGTTAACACCCAGTGTGCAAAAAGGGAGGTGCTCTCTGCCGAGAGAAGGGTGATTGTAAAGAAACAGATCATGTATTGCGAGGATCATTGTAAAATGACCTTCATATTGTCGTGTTGAAACTTACTTGTTCATTGTCACAGCTCTCATGCTCCTCCTGGTTTTCAGCCAATACACCGGTTTTTGATTGCGAGATTGTCGCAATCGCATTCGAATCAATACAGTAATAATGCCTAATCCCAAATTGATAACTACTACCTATTCTTCCTTGACAGAGAACACAATGCCTTCTGGACCACGTTACTGTTATTGGTTTAGAAAGAGGGCTTGACAAACAGAGTTTTCAATGCGCTGGCTGTGGAAGACCAATTGGGCTAAGTGAGTTTATTGCTCGTTAAACTGTTGCGAAACTGACGTTGTACTTCAGCGTTGTGGGAATACCAGCTCCTCTATGCGTTTAGACTGGATAAGAAGCTAACATTGTACATTGTAAAGACGTTGTGTTATCTGCTGAGGTGGTGGTAGGAAGGACTTTGGGATATCTTCTTACCAAACAGCCATCTTATCGAATTTACCACTAATTATATGCAGCAAGTTATCCTTATTTCGCCCAGTAGATTAAAATGTGACATATTTCTTTAATTGCTCGTCATATTCCTTACATGTTTATAGCTTTTGGAAACAAATAACCAATTGATTCGATCAATCTCTTTCCAGTTTATGGACCATACAGAGTCTGCTATTACGATGGCGGGTAGGTCATTCATAATCACTCCAAATTGAAAATGTTGAGCGAAATATTTTGAATAGTTACAGCGCCATAAAGACCATGACATTTAGTCATTTATATCTATCGTTACAACAGTTCTTAGGAAATATTGTTTTTTTATAATTTAATCTATTCATTTATCCTTTATTGCTCAAGGTAAAGGATTCTATCTTTACAAACAATTCAGATTATTTTAGCAGAAAACTCTTATTGAGCCTATAACCCTTTAGAAAATGATAAAATGGCTCTTAATGTGCAAGATCAGCCTTTTTCTTATCAAACCATTGTAATTTGGCCATGGTTCTGAATCTTATCAACCAGGCCCAAACAATTGTAATCCGTTGCCCCGTGGCAAAACTCAGATCCTTTGCTGACCATGTTTGAGGAAGCGAGTCTTATAGAATGTGCGGGATGCGCGGGATGTGCGGGATGCGCGGGATGTGCGGGATGTGCGGGATGCTCGGAATATATCAAGTTATACTGGGAGAAGGTAGTCTGCGATGCAATCGATTTACATTCAATGCTCATTGCTAAGGCAACAGGATTTCGAATACACCGTTACTTGGAAAAATTTATACTAAATTTCGATTTTTGAATACACAGTTTCTTCAATATATCCTGAACATATTCTCAAAGAGCTAAAATTATATCAAGATGAAATATTTTATCTTTTTTATTTGAAAGCGGAAACTTTCCTCGAGTCTCAAAAATCGAAATGTTTCAAAAGAGCATAAATAAATATCAATTTTTGGAGGGCAAGCCGTAGGGCACATTGGCAAAACTAGGGAATCCGGATGGGATAACCCAATTAAACCTTGTGTCATACACGCCTAGGAATTTTTTTATTGTATAAAAGAATCAAAGGTCGCCTGGGGTCATGGAACGCTCTCCTAAGAATATGGAATTAAGCAAAATATGATCCCTGTTTGGGTTCGCTATTTTCGCCGGGCCCATCTTTAACTTCTTGTGGAAGATTTTTTGCTTCAAAGAAGCTGGCCTTGTGTTTCTTTCATCGGCCTTTTGTTTCTGTCAATTCAACTATAATCTGAACTCTGTTATGGATTGGAATCCAAGATTTTGCTTGCGTGCTAGTGGTATTGATATGCTTTAAACTGTTTTAACTTTATGAAGGTTAAAATTTAATCAGAAATTGGTCTTCAAAGCAATCTGCCTTGATTACTTTTGGAAATTTCGGAAATTTTTCAGATTTAAACTCAGAGAAAGTTAAAGCAAACCGAGCTTGGTAAAACTGCGTTTTTACTAATCTAAACAGGCAATCAGTCTTGATGAAACGCTTTTCTGTTACTTACACTCAATTATGTCACGAAGGCCCGTTTACTTTGTAGCTATTATTGTATAGAATGTCATGGAGACGAAGAGCACATTATTCCTGCCAAAATAATACACAACTGGGATTTCAAGTCTTACAAAGGTACGGTTTTGTTCCAATTTCATTCCATCGTTTACTGATAAAATACATTATAGTTGACTGTGTATGTAGATTCTTGCAGTGGCTAATGACTTGTTCTTTGAGCTTTTGCTCTGTGTCTGTCTTGGTGTACCAATTTCTCACTGTGATCTCCCAATTTTCTAGCTTATTTCTGCAGCCTCAATGTTCCTTTCGAATAATATATAGGTTTGATGTTATTTCCCATGTATCGTCATTGAGCTGGTGGCTGTGTTGGCCAGGAGTAGATTGAATGTCTTTTTAAGAAATAAGGAGAAAAGCAAAACGAAGGATAAAAAGAAAAGAAAAAGTTGAAAGGATAGAGCGGTTAAATGAGAGAAGGAGACAGGAAAAAAAGAAACGAAGAACATAAATGCTTGATGTTATGCTGTTAAACATTTGGTGTTTTGGTATTTTGTTTTCAACTAAGATTGAGGTAAACTGAAAAGCTTTTTGCTTTTCACCTTGTTTTCTAGCTAGAGAATCTAGAGACACTAATCCAGAATTTCACTGTACTTTGTGCAATTTTCAAGGCACAGAACTTCACCAACTAGGCGTGAAGTTCGGTTCCTTTTAATGTTAAAATCGTGTAAGTTGCCTCAAACTAGATGCAATATAATTTTGTCATATCATGGAAATACGACGAGTACTGCCGTTCTCTTTCGCTTCCTGCCAAATTGAATTATCCTACTCTGCCCACCAAACATCCAGAGAACTTGTTGATTCTGTTAAAAATACAGCGTTCACCATACCAGGGTCTTGAAGTCAATCAGCCGCGTTTGGAAAAATATGATTTGGCATCCCCGAGCATACTTTAAGCAGCGAATCACTCGATATTCAAAAGTTTTTCTTGTATGAGGTTCTACATAATGCGATTTTATAACTACCCTCTTATTTGCTCTTTTTTGACCTCTTGTATAACCTTTGTTGTTCTTGCTCTCCTACTTCTGCAGCAGTAATATATAAAGGGATTCCTCATTTTGCTTAATTTTATCAACGAAAGTTTTTACCAATAGCTACCAGTTCTGCTTTTTCTCTTGATGATTGCATTCAGGATTCAGTTTAAGCTACAAATTTGTTTGTTTTATTTAACTGTTCGTTAAAAGATGGCTGGATGAAGGTAAGCGTCTGGGGCAGCATATTAGGCGAAATCAGATTTTCGTTTCATAAAACTCACTAAGAAGTACTTTAGTAGCTTTTGCAAAGGTTTGTCAAATGCAAAGGGTGTAATGGTGTAATGTATCTACCATTTTACATCGATCTCTGCAGAATAATGGGTGATACAAGCCACTTACTATTTTCTTGGCACGTAATGGACGATTTTACAGCTACATTTTGAATTTTACAATTATCTGAAAAAGTATCAGCTGACGCTTTGGGTATTGAGATCTCTGGATAGGCGGATAAGCAATACTCAACTTCCTTTTTACTTCTTAGATGTAGATAGTATTTTCTTGCCTGGGTGAAAGATATTGGAAAAAGCTGGATATTATGTTGTCAAGCTTTTGATGTGTTATTTGCATTTCAAAACAGTGACGTTTTTGCCAAAATATGTTGTCAACAGTTGTGACAGGCTTTGGAAAGATATTTGTCAACAAACCAAAGAGTTTGTTAGATTGTATTTCATTTCAACTTCACTCTTTCTTTTTATAAGAACCAGTGAATTAAAGTTCAGGCAGACTGTTCTTAATTCTTTCGAAAACCCGAGGCTGGATTGTTTTTAATTTGTTCTTAAATTGATAGGTTGTAAGCAGTGCGATTGCTAGCTTTTTCGCTTTAGGAAGGTTTTCAAGCCTCATTTGCCAACAAAGTGAGTGAGACAACCTTCATTTGCCAAAGTTTGAATATTCACCGAAAAAACACCCACACATAGCTAAAACTCTTTGTTTTTGAGATAAAATGTTGTTCAAAATTTTACAGTAGCTCAGCCCCAGCTTGTTCTTAATTTGTTCTTAACTTTTGACCAATTTCTAGGCTCGTGTTCTGATAAAATTATTCTTATAAAAAGAAAAGAGTGTAAGATTGTGGCTTTTAAACTAAAAACATGATTTTTCTCAACTTCCTTCTTATCAGGAATTAAGAACATATCAAATCAATCCTGCAGCGCTTCAACTTTTCCGCATTGGTCTCCCCTGAATCATATTGGTTAGTTTTCCCACGAAACTAAGGAGCTTTTTTTCCTGCCACAAAATTATTTCCTAGAACTAACAGGAAGTACTTTGGTAAACTTTCCTCACTAGAAGACATATTGAATTCAATAGAGATGTTGAATACTTATCTCTTTGATTCCAGTAACCAAGGTTACTAAATCATTCTTGATGAAGATTGAAGAAGAGCCTTTGTTTCACATCGATGAAGTCAACCCCACGCTGTACAATGCTGTTCCAAGCCTGAATGAGGTCAAGGTTTGTGTGCAGCAGTAGTTTTTAGAGACTATGATTCAAATGATTTCATTTGTAACTTCTGAATGAACTACTAGGAAGTTGGGAGAAAGAGAGTGCGGAAAGGTTCCCTGAAGAAGGATTTTCTTTCACCGTTGTCTTCTGTCCTCTACGTTAAATAAGACAGTGCTTTATTCCTATATTTTATGCATTTAATGCTATTAAACATTCAGTTTGCGGGCTTGTATTCACAAGTTGGCACCCCTGCAATGCAATAAGTACAAATTTGCACAGCCACATTTTAATACCCCTTTTTAGAATTTGTCTTTCCCAAGCTATTCTTAGACAATGTTTTTTGCTCTCCTTCTTTTACTACCCCAAAATTTCTTCTCTTACGGCAAGATTTTTGCGAATACAAGAAATTGTTCATAAAAAGCATTTCTAGAGCCCAGTACTTACAGAACGAGAAATCAAAACAGACTCAAATTTAAATCTTTGAAATTTCAACATTTGGAAGGACAACATTGCTTGCTTTGGGTTAAGACCTTCTATGCAAGGACCGAGATAGTGGGGGACTTGGGGGCTTCCCCCTCTCGAAAAACTTAAATTGCGCAAGTAAAATATTTTGGATATATTGCTGTTGTGATACTTATTTATCAGGGCTGCCCCTCCCCCCCCCAAACAAAAAGTTGTGTCTTGGTTTTTGTGTATTGGTATTTTTCATGAATTACAGCCATCTAATATAAATGATAGCAGCCAATTTTTTTGCAGATTTTAAGAATCCAGTTGCAGCATTTGAAGGGTTTCATCCTAACATGCAAGAATGATGTAGCTGAAGATTTTCGAAAACGGTGGGTATAACTTATTTTACAGTGAAACACAATCGATAAATCGATGTAGAGCTTAGGGCATCTTTTATCAATTCAAAGATACATCTGTTGTTCTTAATAGATTCTTCAAATAGTCAATATTATAACAGAATTGCAGTACGTAAAAGAAGTCAAAGGAAAACTGATTAGGTTTTCAATACCTTGAATCCTGTTGCAGAATATTAGAAAACACGGTACACTGCCGTATGAGGTCGCAATAACCAGTAACCAACAACCAGTAATTTCACAATAACGCTGGAATAAATCATAGAAGAAACCATTTCATGCTTCAACCTCATCTTTTTTCAGATTATGGCCAAGAGAATACTTGTGCGATGATATTCATCAATACTCGGCATTGGTAATTGCTTACTAATTATTAAAACATCCTCACCACCCTTGACTTACATTTCAATTTTTCATTAAAAGGAAGTGGTACAGTTAATTTTTTGTTACAGTGAAGCCCGAATATTTTGGCATAGCTCAGGTTGTTACTGGGTGCACCGGCCCCTGGGCGCCCTACTTGCTAACCCCCTGCTTAGTATTTCGCTGTGACCATCGAAAGAGTGTAACTTCTACTTCTCTCGGTGGGCCTTATGTAAGACTTAGTAGTAGAGAAAACTGTTCCCAATAAAAGCGAGAGAAAAGGATGCATTTTCGATGTCATTTTCTTTGAAAAGCAAAGGCCTTGTTTGTATAACCTTCTTTTTCTATCGTAAAAATTTTGAGGCCATGTGATTCAAGTTTATTTGCTTGAAAACCATGCTTTGGCTACTTAAAGGTTGTAGCTATTTTATACGTCAACTTTAATTTTCCTTCCTTACACCTCTCTTAGCCATAGTGAACACACAAAATCCCATTTCTTCTTTATTTTTTTCAAACGTTTTCTTCCAGGACTTGGTTCAAGTTCACACTGGGCAACTTACCAACCATCTACGAAAAATTATATCCTTTTTCACGAAGCATGTGTACAAGTGCACGGTAAGAAGAAAATTTGTTGTGGTGATATTTTTCTATATTGGTTGTATTTTGCAGTCAGTTGGTCATTAGAGCAGATAGTTCACCCACCCGTTGAGACAACAGAAAAGATCCCTTATGTGACAGCCTTAATGATAAATAAATTAATGGTTGCTATTGCAAATATCTTTTTACTTATTGAAGTTCTGTACTGTCCTATAATTGAAAAAAAGTTAAAAATGTTGTTTTTTCTAGCTTTGTAGTCAAAAGGGATTCATATGCGAGCTCTGCAGTAGTGACAAGATCATTTATCCGTTTGAAGTTCTTACAACTGTTCAGGTAAGTACCTTTCTTCTTGCTGAACTTTTTCCCCTTGGAACCTATTTTCATAGACTATCAATTTAGTCAACTCCTTAAGCACCCAATTTGTCGGGAAGTTTTGAAAATTTTTCTACGTTGTTGGAGTTTGTAGAACTTTAGCCCAACTCTCACTCAAAAAATTCCTTTATTTCTTTTTAATAAGTAAGAAAGTTTAAGTTATATCTGTTAATCTACTTTACTGTTAGAGCGTGAAATAGTTTAATTCTCTCTTCTTGAATGTCAATGTTTGATTAGAATTGGAATAGGGTACATTTCTGGGAAAACATTCAAAATTCGCGCAGAAAAATCCACCTCCCCCCCTCCCGGACTTTGAGCCACCCTTAACCCGTTGACAAAATTGTTTCTATATAAAATCTTTCTATCGTTGTTTAAGCTGCCTTCTGTCGTTCTAGTGTCATCGCTGTCAGTCTGTTTATCATAAGAAGTGCAGAAAGGATAGGAGCTGCTCAAAGTGCCTTCGTCTACAGTTCAGAAGAAAGAACCAGGAGGAGAACATGGAAGTCTAGAATTTATGGCTGCATGATTTGCTGCGATGAGTATAAGAAAAATTAACCTGCACCATATAAGTCAGTTCTAACACGTGTGCCACCCGAACAGGATGTGTTTGTGTAATTGCTACTGTTAATTGCAATGTTTTTTTCCCGTGCAAACCATTTCAACCACACCTAGCAAAAGGATGATTACAGTTCTAAGATTTTAGCTGACAACGCACTAAGGACTGATTGTTCCTTTGTTTTCGGAGCGTCAGTGTTAAATAACTTAAAGATTAATAAACTTAAAGATTTCAAATTTTGACGGTTGTCACATCTTTGGAGGTAACTTTTGTTGAATATGTTGAATCTAATAAAAGTACATCGTCACGTGCCCCTTTCTGCTATTTTATCTGCTACATCAACTAAAGTTAGTTGCCTTTGCTCTCCTTTGTATTCTCCTTTGTATTTTCTGCAGATGCAACTTGATTAGATCGTCCAGCTACTACTTGACCGAATAAATAATCTCAATAAAGACCATCATTCAAAAATGTTACGGGACAAGCCTTGTAATCTTATTGCTTTCATAAATTTATGACAATGAACTTTCAAAGTTGAAATATTAAATTTGTGTAGTTGATTGTGATGCACAACGTGCAACAAAGGCTTGATCAATTTCAGTTTGCTACAAGCACTACATAGACATTGGAAAGACGATAAGACATTTGTTCGAAGGTCCTTTGGCTTTAAAACTTTTGCATCGTATGCGCATTCGCATTCATATCATTTAAATAATTTAAAGCAAGCTGCATTATGTATTCTGTAGCAGGAACATTCGTGGCTCTAATGGGATAAGGCAAGTCTTGAATCAAAGATAAAAAAGGGTTTCATGAGAAAAGCGAGAATGAAACTCTGGTTTATATATGATGATATATTAAAGTTGTGATGAAACGCTTTGAAGCGCTATGAGAAAGTAATTTGTTCTGAAACCTTGGACCCTACACCTATTGGCATATGATGCATTTTTCTCATTGGTTCGTACAAATGGATAAAACAATACCCTTTAACAAATGGAATCGAGACTCGTCTTCCCAACAATACAGTTCAAATACCAATACATCTCCTAAACTGCCAGTTCTTGGGAAATGACTTAACGAGAAAGGAATCATCAATAGTCACATTTGATCATTCCGGATTATATGACTCATTAAAGAGAAAATACAAAAAGATATGCTCAGTCAAATTTTAATAGAAATGTCTCCACTGGGTGATAAAGTTAATCACTTCTCTTTGTTCCAATGCCAGCGAAGACAGTGCCTGCTATGATTGTGACAATTGCCACACAAGCGACATAAAACGAAGCACCGAATTTTACAAGGTCATTGCCTTCTGGCTTCAATCTAGCAGCAAAGACAGCGACTGCGATGATTTGAAATAGACCTACCAAAACAAGCAATATGTATTATTATTGAAGCATATTTGAAAGCGATGGTGTTTATTGACGAAGTAGAGTCCAAACAAGATTTTGGGCTTTCTTCTAACGCTTTTATTATACGAAATTTTTTAATAAGGCTCTCGTTTTAATAAGGTTATCTTGTAAAATCTTACTCCCGAAAATCGTATAAATTTTGCAATTTGGCTGAAAATTTTTCTAGTGCAAGAAATGAAGTTTTGCTAAAACATTAAATATGTTTTCAAATGAATACAAATTTGGTAGGAGAAAGGGCAATTGCAGTAGTCAGGCCAATTTTTTCATTTGGATAAATTTGTCTCTGATTCGAGTCTGCACGAAGACTAGGTAGGAGGATAATTATGAATAATTACGACTAATTTTTTATGACCAATTGATTGTAACTGATTAATTTAGACTGATTTTGACTGATTGATTATGATTGGTTCATCATGACTAATTTATTATAACTGATTGATTAAGACTAATTGATTGTGACTTGATTGGTTATGACTGATTGATTATGAATGGTTCATCATGACTAATTTATTATAACTGATTGATTAAGACTGATTGATTATGACTGATTGATTGTGACTGATTGATTGTGACTGATTGATTATGACTATGACTGATTGATTGTGACTGATTTGTTTTGATGGATTGATTATAATTAGTTCATCAAGACTAATTTATTAGAACTGATTGATTAAGACTGATTGATTATGACTATGACTGATTGATTGTGACTGATTTGTTTTGATGGATTGATTATAATTAGTTCATCAAGACTAATTTATTAGAACTGATTGATTAAGACTGATTGATTATGACTATGACTGATTGATTGTGACTGATTTGTTTTGATGGATTGATTATAATTAGTTCATCAAGACTAATTTATTATAACTGATTGATTAAGACTGATTGATTAAGACTATGACTGATTGATTGTGACTGATTTGTTTTGATGGATTGATTATAATTAGTTCATCATGACAAATTTATTATAACTGATTGATTAAGACTGATTGATTAAGACTATGACTGATTGATTGTGACTGATTTGTTTTGATGGATTGATTATAATTAGTTCATCATGACTAATTTATTAGAACTGATTGATTAAGACTGATTGATTAAGACTATGACTGATTGATTGTGACTGATTTGTTTTGATGGATTGATTATAATTAGTTCATCAAGACTAATTTATTAGAACTGATTGATTAAGACTGATTGATTATGACTATGACTGATTGATTGTGACTGATTTGTTTTGATGGATTGATTATAATTAGTTCATCAAGACTAATTTATTAGAACTGATTGATTAAGACTGATTGATTATGACTATGACTGATTGATTGTGACTGATTTGTTTTGATGGATTGATTATAATTAGTTCATCAAGACTAATTTATTATAACTGATTG